CACATCCTGCATGATGTAGTAACCATTCGACAGGTGAGTTCAGGGTAAATAGTGCCAATGTTGTTAATAGTATGAGTTAGAATAGAGTAGAATTTCAATTTTATATCCTGATGAATTCCAAGGCCTAATTTCCCAACTTCACTTAGGCTGGTAGTCAAGAAGTACTCGTAATCATGTAAGTGAACTAAATATAAGTACAGTTTGTTTTTTTGTATATACTTTAGAAACCAAGGGAACGAGAGTCATATCCAGTACTCATCTGCAAGATTTTGCGATTAATGGGCGCCTCATGATTTTAGTCAGTACACGTCATTTTTTTCTTCACGCTGGGCAGAAGTCAAATACGAACCACCTTCTTACTTTATGCATGCGATCGTGCCCCCCCTGAGACCTCCCACTGAATTGTACTAACATATAACGATTGCAGATTAGGTATGGATTACATATGTATATATGAAAGCAAATACGTATAACAGCTATAGTGACCATTTCCATGCCATGAACAATTGCACTCCTCCACCTGATGAAAACAGTTTGTTAAATTGCAAGTAGATCAGCCGTCCAGTAAGAACATTTGCCCCATAAGGAGACTAGAACTAGAGCTGGTTGGTGCTTCCCCGGGTTATAGAGGAGCACCCGCTTCACGAACAGGCTAGGTAGCGCTTAACTTGGTTGACTGGGTAGAATATTTTAATTGGATATGTACATCTAGTAGGCTGGTGACAAAAAAATTCTTTGCTTAAAATTCATCGTGGTGTGAGTAACTCAAAACGAAGAGTGATTGCCACTGAATAAAGAAGTATAACCATGCAACCATGGCCCAAGTGATGCTGCTCAGGCACGTTTTGTTTTATGAATCATGAAGACTTTTCTCATAGGACTGTAGGTATGCTTCAAGCCTGCGCCCAAGAACTCCAAACTCGTCAACCGCGGGAGGTTATTGGCAATGTAGACCCAATCCTCCACGGTTCCGTAGCGAAGCGCTGACCAGGGGAGGGTAAGGCTGCGGACATTTTCACAACGACCGATTATTTCAAATATGCGAGTGGCATTGGTGAATTGGTAGATTCCAGAAAACCACAAACGGCGGACATGGGAGTTCAATTCCGGGCATTCTTGCAATAGAACAACGGTTGACTTGAGGATCCGGTATGGATCTTTGTAGACAACGGGGAAAATATCTGAAGTCAATGGTCCACCGGAAGGTGAGGGCAAAGCAAGGAATTTTGGATCCCAGCTACAATACAGTAAAAACTTGTCAGTTGCCAAATTACCTGAACTTGGTTATAAATTAGAAACTACATACCTCTCACCACCTCTCCACCGCCGCACATACAATTCCTTCAAATTGTAACCCATAGCCCACTCGTGCCAAGTTGAGCATGTCCTTCGAATTGCATCTGTTGCGTTCCATCGCAATGTGTCTGATGGCACTCGTCCGGTGATATGCTTTTGCACCTGTACTCTGTGATGCAATTGTAACGTGCGTGTTACTTGCGAAAGACCATATGTATAGCTTCGGGTGTACCCCTCTGTTATATTGGCCTCAGCAGCTAGAGTGAGAATATTTGTTATTATTTCCCATGGTAGGGATTGAATATTTATTCGCCGTTCACAACGGTCGGTCATGGCAGGTACCAACCAAGTTATGAAGATTGTCGTTCGATAGCGGATAAGTAGCGATAACGATAAGATCCAGGCTTGGGTGCCGTGCCTGAAAAAGCAATGCCGCCTGACGGGATGTGAAATATAATGTATTAATTGGGGAAGCCTTGTAGAGCAGTGTATAAGAGCAACGATTATGATAATGCTTCTAGTGATCAAGCTGATACTTCCTGGAGCTGTCTTCTGCTTAAGTACATGTTAAGTTCCAGGCTCGCGGATTGCCCCCCTAATAAACGTTTCCATCTACGCAAGCAAGAGCTCTAAAGCTCTGACCCGAGGCCAACAAGCGAGACTAACCACCCCCCGAACCATCGCCATGGCAAAGTATGAAAAAACTTGTCGCCATAAGATGCCTTTGAATGAGGGCATGTGGGCATCTCTCTTCGGTTGTTGATTCACTAATCCTTGCCTCAGACCTACAACATGTGCAGGAGGCGTTGGGCCGTCATCTGGCCTGAGGATGGCTCAGGCTCCGGCAGCTAGTCTCGTGCCGGCAGCTAGCACTTCCTAAGGCAGAAACGGGACAAGCTACCAGACTAGCCATATTCAGAATATGCTGCTACTTTTCGGAAGGCGTGCCTATTAGGTAGAAACGTCTACCGGTACATATGTATGTATATTATAATTAAGGGCGGGAGAAGGAAAACCGGTGAAAGCGGCTCCCAGACTACCGATTCCGCCCTCCACAGTAAAGCCAGAGGAGTATCACGAAAGGTCGCTTCCACCAATGTTCCCTTATGAGAAGGATTCGCTACCAGTTGTTTCACCAGTTGCCGTGGTTCCATTTCCACATCTTTTGGGGTTCTTGAATACACCGTTCAGGATATATAGATACCTCACCCAGCGGCACCTTGCAGACCGGGTAGGCAGGGAGACGGCTGCCCTCTGCCTCGGCTTCTCCCGCCCGTTCCATTCATTTACCCCCACACCATTAGCGGAGAACGGTCAAGCTACCATCGTTCCAAATGCCCTTCGCTCCGTAGACGGAAAAGCGAATGATGGCGGTGGCGGGCATGCAGGGGAGGTTGATGTTGGCTGCTACCCGGAGGAAGAGCAAGATTGGAATAAGAAGTATCGAGTGGTGCCTAGTGATGACGAACTCGCTTTACCTACAAAGACTGTTGTGAGGGAAGGCCCCAATGGAGAGAAGGTTGAAGAACAGGTGGAGGATCTTAGCGAGCAACAAAGATATCAGTTGAGTGCGAAGAGGGATGCTAAAGAGTGGGCGGGACCGATTATTGTAGATGGAAGGATTGTAAGAAGATTGAAGAGATATGACCAAGCTGTGGTGACGCCGGAGGCGGAATTTCAAATACAGTGAGGTTGATCCGCTCCGACGGCCCCCAGGTATAATTAGAGGGAAAAAAGAAGCGCATATAGTAATAGCTCTTCTACTTGTAAATATAGTATCTCTACGTGCGGTATAATTGTAGAAATGTCACATCACATCTCCCGATTAGTGCGCTTCGTACAGTCGTCCGAAAAGTGACCGGATACGATTTTGGTTATTGTAGGAATGTCACTAAGGTAGACTTAAAAGTAACCAGACTAACTTAAAAGAGGTAGTCTTAGTGAGATTCAGGGTAAGTGTTCGAATTAATAGGCCCATATTGTTAAGAATTGATCTAGGGAACAAAGGAATGTGGCCTCCCTATTCACCTTACATCAACCCAATTGTAAGTATTTGCGCTGCACTTACTTAAGCGCAAGCTCCACAAATGGTACCCGGAATTAGAGGAGATGGAACCCTGGCGGAAAGGACACTGTGAAAGGAGGTTATAGAACATTACTGTCTACTGCTGGTAGCAACTTAGAATCCAGCGTATATCTAAGGAAGCTTGTTAGCTGGGAATTTTTGAAGTCAGGGCGGCCGCTGGACCGTAGGTACATATATTCAGGGTAACTCATCTTTCTGGCCGTCAATGAAAAATGCCTGCTATAAATACATTAAGTGCCCAAATATCTAGGTATGTAGGCTGATAAATATACTTACCAGCTTACCTATGTCTCGTTGGCACAACCCCTCCACGGCCAGCTACCCATATCATGGAGCAACTCTCATGCCTCCGACATGAGCATTGTCAGACGTCTGTTGTGAGCGATGCCAGGCCTCCGATATAAACACGAATAGCTGACCTGTGTCACGGGAATTCCCTAAGCGACCCAGCAAGGTCGGGGGTGGTTTAGGATGTGAGCACTACCATGAGCACTAACATGTCTCTGATGTCGGCAGTGTCATGCCTACGACTTCAGTACCACCAACAAGCCCTAATTCGGCGGCGCTGAGATACCTCTATCCCAGAATCGACCCGTAATTTGCCAGAAGTCTGGGAACAATACTTTGCAGGTCGACGTAGGCAGGATCAACGGAGGGATGCGCCACAGATTGGCTAGGGTAGGACAGCGACATGGGGACGTGGGCGCTGTAGTTTCTGCATTTCGGATATCAAGAGTTTCTGTGTACATAATTAGTATATTCAACTCTGCTATTAATTCATGTAGAAGGCCTCCATTAGAGGGATTTCGCAACAAGTAGATTTATGGCCGGTTTTAGTGCTTAGTTTTCCATGGTAACCCGACAACTTCCGATTACCATAGCAACCATTTGTTAGTAAATAAAAATACCGCATGCTTATGGTTATGCACTCACTCTCTACCTTCGAATAATTATCAGAACACATCCAAAACTCCACTATGGTTCCTCCGGATCAAGCTCGTCTTCATACTTCAGAGTGCGAGTTATCTTGTGAGGTAGATCTCACAAATTACCCATATACAACCTCCTATTTTGAGCGCTGCTTCAAAAGATGGAACACCAATCCCAAGTGGTGCGACCAACCCTAAGTAGCAGAACTGGTAGCAGAGTAAGACTTGTTAGAAGAAGAAAAGGTTAATCTTATTCACCTTTGTATCCGATAGCTAATGTTTCTGCTGCCGCTGCCATGATAGAGGTAGTCGAGAAATTTTTGGTGATCAAATGCATAATATACATGATTTTGGCCTATACAATTAACATCAGAAATCTTCATTTTAGTAACGATAGCCATAACAATAACAAGAAAAGTTTGTGAAATCAACCCTAATGTTAGCAAGTATACCCCGTAAGTAGTATAGGTACGAGGTCGCGTGGCTCAATCGGCAGAGCATCGTGCTAAAAACGTGAAGGTGTGAGTTCGAGTCTCACCGTGACCACAATTTCTTTTGTTTTGCTGATTCAAGAGACGCCCTTGTATTGTACGTCCATCAATCAATCAATCTATATGAGAATTTGTCCACCGGTGATAAATATAAAAAAAGATAAAAGGAAACAAGAAAACCCATAAGTACAGGTACGACGTCGCGTGGTTCAATTGGCAGAGCATCATGCTAAAAACGTGAGGGTGTGAGTTCGAATCTCACCGTGACCACAATTTTCTTTTGTTTTGCTGATTCAAGTTTTTATCCCTTGTATTGTACGTCCATTGTGGGAACGATGGTTCATCAAAGAGTAGGGTGGTCTTTTGGATCTATCTACTTGCTCCCAGCTTTATACTACATATCCCCTGCCTTAGTGTTCATTTCCTCATCTAGTAATCCTGCCCCACACCATCAATCAATCTATATGAGAATTTGTCCACCTGTGATAAATATAAAAAAAGATAAAAAGAGACAAGAAAACTCATAAGTACAGGTACGAGGTCGCGTGGCTCAATTGGCAGAGCATCGTGCTAAAAATGCGAGGGTGTGAGTTCGAGTCTCACCGTGACCACAATTTCTTTTGTTTTGCTGATTCAAGAGACGCAAATTTTTATCGTACGTACGTCAATCAATCAATCAATCTATATGAGAATTTGTCCACTGGTGATAAATATAAAAAAGATAAAAAGAAACAAGAAAACCCATAAGTACAGGTACGAGGTCGCGTGGCTCAATCGGCAGAGCATCGTGCTAAAAACGTGAGGGTGTGAGTTCGAGTCTCACCGTGACCATAACTTCTTTTGTTTTGCTGATTCAAGAGATGTCAAATTTTTATCGTACGTACGTCAATCAATCAATCAATCTATATGAGAATTTGTCCACTGGTGATAAATATAAAAAAGATAAAAAGAAACAAGAAAACCCATAAGTACAGGTACGAGGTCGCGTGGCTCAATCGGCAGAGCATCGTGCTAAAAACGTGAGGGTGTGAGTTCGAGTCTCACCGTGACCATAACTTCTTTTGTTTTGCTGATTCAAGAGACGCAAATTTTTATCCCTTGATTGTACACGTACGTCAATCAATCAACCAATCTATATGAGAATTTGTCCACTGGTGATAAATATAAAAAAGATAAAAAGAAACAAGAAAACCCATAAGTACAGGTACGAGGTCGCGTGGCTCAATTGGCAGAGCATCGTGCTAAAAACGTGAAGGTGTGAGTTCGAGTCTCACCATGACCACAATTTCTTTTGTTTTGCTGATTCAAGAGACGCAAATTTTTATCCCTTGTATTGTACGTCCATCAATCAATCAATCTATATGAGAACTTGTCCACCAGTGATAAATATAAAAAAAGATAAAAAGAAAACCCATAAGTACAGGTACGAGGTCGCGTGGCTCAATCGGCAGAGCATCGTGCTAAAAACGTGAGGGTGTGAGTTCGAGTCTCACCGTGACCACAATTTTCTTTTGTTTTGCTGATTCAAGAGACGCAAATTTTTATCCCTTGATTGTACCGTACGTACGTCAATCAATCAATCAATCTATATGAGAATTTGTCCACTGGTGATAAATATAAAAAAGATAAAAAGAAACAAGAAAACCCATAAGTACAGGTACGAGGTCGCGTGGCTCAATTGGCAGAGCATCATGCTAAAAACGTGAGGGTGTGAGTTCGAGTCTCACCGTGACCATAACTTCTTTTGTTTTGCTGATTCAAGAGACGCAAGTCCATCAATCTATCCAGGGAAAACTCCCTTGTATTATTGGCAGTCAATGGAGATCACCTCTTCTGGTCTGAATAACTAAAGCATAATGCCAATTGACCAGAGCAATGGCGTCAGGATGATACTCAAAAAAAGAACAAGTGTTTGAGGAGTGACGTCAGTCCTTCGGGAGTCTGGTTGGCACAAGTCTCTCGTGGACTTCGGGACGCCATAGCTATCTTGGCGGGTCGACACGTGACTCATTTTATATTGCAAAACCTTATTGTGACCTGCTGCGATCTTAACGAACAAATGACTGCCATCGGCGAATTCCAGACCACCTTCCCCGCTTCCCTCCCCTCCCCACCAGGCTCCCCGCTTGTCTCCCTCAACGATGACATCTTCGACTCCACCTCCGCCCTCTCCTCACCCACCATTGGCTCTTCAACCCTATACAATCAAGACCTCGTCAAACTCCAATCCACTCATGAGACTCAGGGCTACCGCGCTGCAATATCTGTCTCTAAGGGCCAATTTATCCAAGCGGGCTTCGACCGTGGGTATGAATTCGGAGGGAAGATGGGGCTAGTTGCAGGTTGGGTTCAGGGCGTGGCAGAGGGGCTGGTATTTGCTGTTGGGGAGGGAGCGATGGCAAAGGAGATAAAGGAGTTGGTGAGGGAATTGGTCAGGGAGGTTGTCGTGGAGAAATTGTTGGGGAGGGAGTGGGTTGATGAGGAGGGGGGTTGGAGGTGGGAGGTGTTGTGCTGGGATGGGGAGAAGAGGATACAAGGGGAAGGGGGAATAGAGGAGGTTGATCTGGATTTGGTGGTGCAGAGTCATCCTGTGTTGAGGAAGTGGGTGGTGAAGTTGACTGAGGTGGCGGCGAAGTTGGGGCTGGATATCCACGGGCCGAAGGGGGGTGAGGAAAGAGTGGGGGAGACTCAAAAGGAAGGAGCGGGAAGTGAGAGTGGTAGTAGTAGGATTGAAAATAGCATAAGGGCTTGAGGTGAATTTTAGCGGCTGGGAACGGCATAACTGGGTTCATACAGCGTACAGTGGCATTCAGAGGTATCGACCCCAGGCCTCCAGGTGGCCCGAGTGCCGGAGGGCACCCTCCTTCGAAGAGGATTTCCAGTTTCTCCTCTCCCGTTTGCATGCCAGGCAAACATTCAAATTCAGGCTTTGGAGCTCCCCTGCTTCAAGAATGAATTGGGGCATGAAAGATATTTGCTACCTACAGGATTAAGGAGATGGTAGAAGGGGGGCCATTAACCTCATCATAAAGGATGATGTTTGGCGGAAGAGGAAGCGATTGGACTGAATAGATGTGGTTATTCCTCGTAGTAGACGACGAAATTTGCAAAACAGGGATGATCAACAGTAAATAGGTTTATACCATTGAGAATAGGAGAATGCCTGAAATAACTCCATGCACTACAATCGCCATTTGTCCTTTGAGGTTGTTCCACTTGCTGGTGTTGGTGGATTGTATTCTAACACATCAGCAAAATAAAATCTGCATCCTGATGACGCACCATATGGGCAACAAAAGATCTGCTGTATCCCTTGTATGCCCGGGCATGCTTGCATGCTCATGAGGTTGACTTCTATATAGCCTTTCCGCCCTTATTTCTCTAACCATAATTCTCACCACCACAAAGCACCACTATATTCACCACTGTAATCACGGTCTAGAATTACCAATCACCTACAGAGACATCACCAGGATGAATTCCTCCATGACCGATACAATCGTTGAAGTTCGAGACTAGTTATTTAATTTTATTTTCTAGGAAACAAACAGGTTTATAAGCACCGAGTTGAAAACAAGATCAGCAGGTGTAGGTGTATTCGAGTTAAGAATGGCCGAAACAATCTTAAATCTCAATACTTCATCGGTCGGCTTCCGTAGTCAGCGGGCTTACAAATTTTTTTTTTAAAGTCAATTATAAATAATTCACGATAAACAAAATATATATTTTAAAGAGATGCAGTTACAGAAATACAGAAAATGCAAAACATTCCCGCATTCAATGCTAATGCTGGACAAGGATATTCTTCGGAGGTTGAATGGAACGGTTCGATAGAATGGAGCTACGATTTGTTTTTTTTTTTCCCTTCCCCCTTAGAGCACACTATGTTAAAGTTAGCCCTCACCTCATAACCTCGTAATCTAATGCCTGACGTCCTGGAAAGAATTGGTTTGCTTTGCTATTCCTTAGTTTTAAAAGTCATGTACTTGTGTGTTATAGCCATATATACATGCGTGCATCGTAGAAAGTATCGTAAGGTGATACCCATTTATTAAAGTACAAGAGGTTGGTATCATTAACCTACAAACACCACGCAAAAAGCTATGTGAAAAAAAATGAGCAAAAAGCCGGGGCAAAAGTCCCCACAGTGGTATGTATGTAGCATAGCAGCCCAATGACATGTTACCTCAGCCGGAATTATGGAAGCACCTCTACGCATAATAATCAGGACCTTGTGAACTTCTCCTACTGCCTTCATAATAACTTCCTCCATGGCGACTTCTGTGACTGTGGCTTCTATGACTCTGGTTGCCTCTCGAGTGTCTCCTTGGGGGCCCGTAGTAAGGATCTTGGAAGACGGGGGGCGGCGGCGGCGGTGGTGGTGCTGTTGAGGGTTGAGAGTACACAGGCCTATGGCTAGGCTGTTCAATAACAACCTCTTCCCGAACAACTGCAAGTGGCTGATTCTGGATGTAGATGATCGCAGTGAGGAATGCCGTGATGAAGAAGAAGATAATGTTTGCAATAGCAAGACCCCAGGCTGCCTTTACTTTGCCACAATGATCCCGGTACGTGGAGGGAAATTGTCTATTCCACCAATCCTCATCTGCGGCAGTATAGTATCTTGATGATTGATACTCGGGAGTGGTCACTTCGTCAATACATGCAACATTGACGAAATTGGTCATGACCACCACTACAGCAGCAATCAAAAGTGCCATCGCGACAACATCAAAGAATGTCATCCATAGCGCAGTATTATGTGCTCTGAGGAAGGTGACGAGAACGCAAAACGCCCAAACGGAGGCGAGGATAGCAACGACAAAGAGGAATAGGATGGCCCCGGGGGTTTTGGCATTATTGCGATTGTAGTGCTCAATTACTGCGGCGAGAACAGCCCATGCGGGAATGAGGGTGAGGATTTGGATAATGCGGAATATAATATGCGTAATGCCAGTTGCATCGTTGATGGTGGTGGTGGTTGTTTGCGTTCGCGCCATCATAACATGAATGAAGTTGGCCAAGCCTTATTGTGGCTGGTGTTTAGTTTCCCGATTAAGCCAGCCAAATCTTCGAAGACCTTAGTCTGGTTGGCACAACACCCTCCACAGACTACGAAGACCTGAAATAAATAACCACCGAATGCGGAAGTTGCGTTGAGATTACGTTGTGTTGTGGCGAGCTGCCTGGGGAAAAAATATATATATATATATATATATGTCGCAACTACTCCGCCGTTAGAGAGGTGAGGGGAAGGTGGGGCCGGGGAG